ATTCAAAGACGTCCGGCAAACTTGTCATTATGTCAGCCGTGTTGAGCAATCTACTAAACTAAAGTAATGTTATAATCAGATAGCCACAACACAATTACAACAATTACAACAAATGCCACACAATGTAATTACAATTACAATTACAATTACAATTACAATTTCATTTATCGAGCTGTTGTTGGCTCATAAAAATGGCAATCACATTTGCATTACATGATTTTCATTCTCATAAACATTTCGTTTCCATACCCAATGCAAATTGATATGATACATCGAACAATTCGTACTGCGCACTTACGATTCGTAATGCCCTCTTGAAACTGAACGCAGGGTGCGCTTTGCCCTCGGACCCATCAACGCAGGGCCATCGAGCAGATATTTATTATAATGTCAGTCGGAGCTGTGGGCTTTGAGAGAAACGTGCGCGCCTCGTGTTAGTATATTGGATAAAACGCAATTTATAGGTATTGGATGCCTAAAAATAATACGATTATTGGGACTTCAGCTGTCAAGTGGCTTCAGCTGGTGACAAGTGTCTGACACCTGAGAAGTAACGCAATTAATCAACCGGCTCCCAACTCTAAGTTCAGTGTGCATTTTACCTGGTTGTAATTAAGGAGCGGGCTTAACAGAAAATAAACCCAAATTGGGCAATACCCCAAGATAATTGAAAAGTACATGAAAGCAATCAATCTTAGTTCAGGCTAATGAACTCGTATGCAAAGTGATGTAACTAACTGTTTTGTCAAGCTCGTTGAATTGGAAAATTCGAAGGCTATTGTACAATATAAGTTGGGATTCATTCCAGTTATGAACACAAATTGCCACAGATTTACCCACAAATGTTTTGAATTGAAATTATTCTGGCATCACATGTTTATCGCATTTCCTGAAACTAAGCAAAATCTAATAAGCTTTAATTTCTGTATTTTATTTATATTCAAACAATAATATTTGTCTTAAGAGCATATGTTTAAATGAAATAAAAGGACTTTTATATTTTTTGTAAGAATATTTAAATGTTAAACCAGCATGGATATTGAAGCCTTACTATTCGTATTATAAGAATATTTTATCTCCCTTTTTTAATCTTAGCATTCGATTTAATATATTTTTTGTAATGTATATTTTTCGCTTCTTGCATTTAATAGATGCTCAAATAAACATTGAATCTTCCTCTTTCAGATCTTAACATTTGATTTAATATTTCTTTTTGATATATATTTTCCTATTATTGCATTGACTAAGATGTATATCTGCTAGTACATACAACTTGTGCATTGATTTTCCTTACTTTATTTGCTTTTGATTTCGATTTCGTATTTTTTTTTTTTGGTTGCACACTTGAATAATTCTGAAATTATATATTTTTCTGTCGCAATGCGACAGTCGTCGCATAAATTGCAAATTGAAGCAGAAAGCAGCACAAATGTATTTCCGCATCGCCACAAGCTTGATTAATTTCCGAGCCAGCTACTTTGTCTGCCAAGGAAATTGAAAATGGATATTTATCTAAGTAAATAACTCAACTGGACAAAACCAAAGGACAATCTGGGCTTTCGTCATGCTCTGAATTGATTGAATTGAATGAGGTCGCAAGTGGAAAGGGAGATAGACAAAAAGGGAGAGACAGAGACAGAGAGAGAGAGAGAGAGAGATAAAGGGGTGACCACCATAAAAAAAATAAACTAGGTTAACATCGAGGCGGACAATTTCTAAAAGGCGAACACAACTTAAAAATTGAATTTAAAGCTTTTGGTGTCTTGGACATTTTGCCGCGCGGCTGTTGTCCTGTTTGCCAACTGATTGGCTTTGACTGCTCGACCGCCTGCCCGCTCGCCTGCCGGCCTGCCTGGCTGCCTGTTTGCTATGGGCAATTAAGAAATTCCTGACCATAACTATCGACGCTTTATAATTTTTATCACATACATTTTTTATCGCAAATATCACAACTTCATCAGCAATCACAGCGACCAACAGCAGCAGCAGCAACAGCCAAGCAGACAATTAGCCATAAAATTAGCTGCAACTTGGCTCAAGGAATATGGCGGCCAAGGCAAATTGAAAACAATTTAAGTTATTTGCATATAAATGCAACTTAAGACGCAACAGCAGCAGCAACTGCAGCAGCAACAGCAGCAATTGCTGTATATTGGCCATGTTAACGTGTTGGGCCCGCATTGGGGCTTCTGGTGTGCCGGGTTTGTTTAACACAAATGCATTGTTCACATAAACTAGGCAATAATGCACAACAGCATTTGCTCGACTTACAGATACCCTATAAGCTGGCAAGCACTGCTAAATCAATGCCTAGTATTCTCTCTAACCAGAATCTCGACTTACATTTATCCTTTAAAAAGTAAAAGGAAGCAATTCCGAGCTCATAAAGTGTGATCAGCATCAATACTGAGTCGATCTAGCTATGTCCGTCTATCTGTCCGCCTGTCTGTCGGTTCGTATGCATAAGGCCTTCTTTGCAACGTAGGTACGGAGCGCAGTAGAAGTTTGTCGTGCGATAAAATTCAAACATATCGCAATCCTTTTGCCTTCTGAGCAAATATCTTCGGTTTTAAGAGCTATAGCCTAATTTGCCACTAAGCTTTCAGAATAGTATAAACAGATCAAGTATCTTTCACTTTAAAGCTACCGCCGCCACGAGAGTCGGACATTCTAGGCACCTTTTTGAGTAATCATTTATTGTGGTACACGATGCGTATACGTAACAAGCAGACAATTAGCTACTCAGCTTCACTTAAACTAAAATAAAATTGAATGAAAAAATATGCTATATTGTTTGTATTAAAATAGCATAATTTGTTTCTCAAACATCTTTAGTATGCTAAAAAAAAATTCAGTTTGCACAAACTTCATGCACCCTTTCATGCAGACGTTCCGCTTACAGGGTATTCAGAATGGCGTGTTCGCCTGCCGCCAATTGAGATAATGCCAAGTGCATTGACGTTTTATCAACTTAAGAATATCAATATTGATATCGCCGCCTGACAACAAACACGCTGCTCAAACGATATTTCATTTATGATCTGAAAATGCAGTAATTAACAAAAAACAGAGAGAAACAATAGCAACAATAAAAAACAAGAGCAAATCAACCAGAAAAAAAAAAAGAAACAAAACAAAACAAACCTAATGAATGTGCATTTTTGTCGAGCGTTACGAAAAAATTGCACGTGGCGCCTAAACAAAACACTTGCATATAAAATGTGGAGAAAAAAGTAAATAAAAATATAATAAAATTTGTGTGGCTGTTAAAATATTTTAGCCAAAGTTCAAACTACATTTCACGCCTAATTTCATTTGACAACAAACGAGAAAAATACGTTGGAAATTTTTTTACACATTTCACATATTTTTTTTTTCTCTCTTTTTGCTTTTGTTGTTAATTTTCGGACATAATTGCAGAGAGCAAGAAGGAGGGTGTGCGGCAAGGGGCGGGCGCAGTGGCAATTGGGGGTGGGGCCAGTGGGGCGACTGGTTATGACAGCAGCAGGCGGCAGGCAACAGCAGCTGCAAAGTCCCAACTCGCCGTCTGTGGAGCATTTGAATAATTTGCAATTAAACTGCAAAAACTCTGAATTCAGTGTGCGGCAATCAAGAGCCAAAAAAAAAAAAAAATAAATAAAACTCTGTCGAGCATTTCTTTCGCGACGGTAAGTCGTGGCGTATGCGTAATATTGCATTTGATTAGTATTTTTTATTTTATTTTTTTTTTTTTGTGAACTGGTTTTTGCCGCCCGGCCTGAAGTCGAGAATGAATCGAAATGTCCGCATCCATCAGCTGTCCGCGCTTCACAATTGCTGTGGCGCGCTTGATGCTGATGAAGACAGCAGCCGGGGCCTGAGACCGGTCAAAACCAACACCCAACTGTGTTTCCAATTAAACGCCGCTTTGGCAAACAACGACAATGACAGCAGCAACAGCAACAACACAACAACAACAACAACAACAACAGCAGCAGCAGCAACATCAACGTCATTTGTATCTGTTAGATGCAACAACTTTCAGTTTGCTTTACGGTTAGCTTGTCAGTTGCAGTTGACTCTGCCAAGGAGCTGAAGAAATTGAACTTGAATGTTTATGTGGCAGGCGCTTTAAATCAGTATGGGGGGTCCACACACACACACAAACGTACACACAAACACACACACACTCTCTCACACCTGGTCACAAATTACCCCTTGGCAAAAGCCAAAACTCAAACTAGCTGCAGCTCAATTCGTATGTAACTGTCAACATGTTGTCAATCAATTTGAAGCTGTTGATTGGCTGATTGAAAGCATTTGATTGATTGCTAGATTTACAGTTGAACACTTGATTGGTTCAATCCAGTTGACAACAGCGCGCGGCTAGCTCGTTGTAAACATTCAACTAAATTGTTTGAAGAGTTTCTTGTTTTTTTTTGCGGTATTTACACTCTGTTTTTCGCTGTTTTTCAAGCGGGTTTAGAATTATCAACTATAAGTTTACATGTTTTTTTTAAGCGGCAAAGCTTAAAAAGTTCCTGAGATATAGAAAAGAGACCTGCTGAGACCTGTATAGGTCTAAACGATATTGGTATTATATAGAGCTATGTGTGGTTTGACATGCCCATAATAAAGGTCAGCAGAATATTCTAAAAATTTCCTGTTTTCGATTTGAACCACTTTTGTACAAACTTTTAAAGTTTATCTGTTCTATGTTTCCCCTTAAAGCTAGCGCTTTTACTGAGTTAATCCAAGCAACTGATTTTTCTGGACATATATTTTTCTGTTTTAGCATAAAAGCCCAAAGATTATCTCTGATATCAAGCCGATTATTAGCATATAAAATTGCTATGACGCCTGTTTGCATCTGATATTTCGATAATCAGCTAATGACTGATCCACGTTCTTTATTAGCTGATATTAAAAACAGAGCTCATTACCAGCTCACTCGTGCCCGTCCAATGGGTCTATTAGTAAATTCTATTTTTAGTAAACTTCCGATACTTGAACAGCAAAGTCATGTATCTGATGCTTGTTAGCATGCTGTTGTTCGCTGCATTTCACATGCAGACAGCGCAGAGTAAGAGAATATCCTTTAAAAAAGAGAATACCCTATAAAAAACTATTTCTTTCAAGGCTTAGCACCACGTGGTAAATTCACAAGCGTGAGCTTTGAGCACAATACCGAGTTCTTTACAAATATGTCGTGTTGGCTCACGCCCGAAGGCAAACTTAATCTAGATGTGTATATAAAACGCAACATGCCCCTGGCCATGCGTACGTCTATTACGGTGCAGTACCAGATCGAGAACTCGGCGAACTATTATACGCTCTTCAGCTATGACGTGGACAGCTGTAAGGCCATGAAAGATCTGCTGCAGTTCGGTCTGACCAACATCTGGTTTCGGAACCTACGCAAATACGGAAATCTAACGAACATCTGTCCCATGAAGGCTGTAGGTTGGCACAACGAGCAGCATTACGAGCCATTAATTATTATCCCTATTCCAGGGCTATTATGATTTGCGCAATTTTCACCTGGAGAACAACAGCATTCCGGCGTATCTGGGGTCAGGCAATTATCGCATCAGAGATGTGAACTATTATGGTAAAAACAATGCAAACAATGTGAACCCCAAGGCCAAGAAACGTCTCCCTGTCTCGTCTATCGTTTTGCAATTGCAATTGTATTAAAGTTTGTCTACAAACCCTGCAGCTCAATTTAACTGAACTTTTGGCCCGTTGGCCAAGTGTGTCAGGGGCTTTAATGTGGGTGGGGCGAACAAGTTTTCACGGGCCAAGTTTGCAGCGTTTGCGTGAGATATGGCTGGAATTTTTTACTTGTTTTCTCAAGGTTCTTGAGCTTGCCAAGGTCTGAACAAAGTGAATTCGTAAGTGAAATTAAATTAACTGCAATAATGAGCTAAGGTCTAAGGGTTTGCATATTTTACACATAAAGTCTCTGATGCCAGCATTTGTATTATACATTAACTTTCTTCATTTTATCAACTCAGCATTAGGAATAAATTGAACTTTTATACAGAAGCTTCAATATTTTCAGATTTTAACTTCAAAACACATTCACAATGCAGAATGGGGCTGCCAGACTGTCAATTAAACAGTGTAGTGTTATTAGTTTGAATATAATATAAATATCTCATTAATTTAACTTAATAAATATATATTTTTAATAGTAACTAATAAATTTGAATGTTCAATCATATAGCAATTAATAAATATTAATTGAACTAAATAAATATGGAGTTGACAGACTATCAGTAAAACAGTGTTGGGTAATCCATAATAGGTGATTACGAAATTAGTTACGTATTAATTAATTAATAATATCCAAATTCCGAGTATTCATAATAAAACAATAAAAAATTTAACTTAATAAATATGGAGTTGCCAGACTGACAGTACAACAGTGTTGTGCCAAGCCTAGCGCAAGTCATATTAGAACTAAGTCTTAAGCTTGAATATTTAATAATAAAAGCGTTAAAATGTATTTATTTAGCGAAGTAAATATTGTTTTAGCAGACATCTTTGATTTAGTCTAAGTTTAATATTGGTATCTAACCCTTTTGCTGACCTTTTTATCAAGACATTTTTCTTTACTTTCGCTTTTCTTATTCGATTACAAAAGAATGCCAAGGTCTTTCCGCAAGCCATTTGAAAATGTTTCTTGAGGATTTTTGAGCCAACAAACAGCTTTTACAAATTCTTAAGCCGTCTTTCATTTGGCTTTTATTTCCGCTGACAGGAGCAGCAACTGGCGCTGGGCAATTAGTTTTGGCTCCTTGTGTGCGCTGCCTTTTTTTCTTTTTTTCGGTCAGTGTGAAATTTATGCTTTGTCGGGGCAGAGTTTTAACTAATTGCATAATAAATTTCAGTGAATTTATTCAGAATTCAGAATTTATCTGGCCAAATTGCAATCCTTGTAGCCCACTTAATAAATGTCAAGCAGTCTGTCAAAATAACTGACTTACAGCTAAAATGGGGCGTGAAAGAAAAAAAAAAGCTGAATGCTTACGTGTTTTGTGGTCTAATATCTTGTCATAATTGTTATTAGCAGTGGGTGTTAGAGCTGAGCACTAAAATTATGAGCCTGACTTACCTGGGCAGCAGTGCAGCAACGGCGCATGGGGGAAGTACCGTCAAAAGTTTACCTGGAAAAACCAAATAACGCGAATTGAAATGGGAGTATAAATTAAAAATTATTATGGGCTGGGGCTAGGCAAATTTGTGTCGTTTTTGCATTAGATAAGCTGGCAGCAAAAGGCAATTGCCAAATGTACTTAATAAGCTAATTGTCTGGGTTCATTGTCACATTCTGGGGGGGGGAAGTACAATGAGCGCTTTTTGAAAAGCTTGTGCTTAAAAGATAATTAATGCATATAATTATATGACAATGCATATTAAAATTGTCATTTATTTGCAGGTTACCACAGTTTACGGTCTATGCCAAGATTATTTACCTCCTGATGGTGAGTATTTTAATAACTAAACTTTACAATAAAAAGCACACAATACCAAAAAAAAAATCCCCTAAATAAACAATTAAAATATTGTTTAAAAAACAACAAAAAACATTCTAAAAGAACAGATGTTTCTAGTCGCAGGCGTAATAATATCTAAATTAAATGCACGTACGATCTGTTACATTGTATTTGTTTGCGTAATTTATAAACTATTTTTTTGTTGCTGTTTACTGATACTATCGCATAATATTTGAAGAACGTAACATATGATAGCCATCAACTTAAAATTCCAATGTGTTTAAAAATGACAAGTTATATCACAAGTTATGTCAATGTAAACAATTTAGCTGGAAGCAAGCCCAACCAACCCAACCCAACCAATTGCTGATGATAACCCATCGCAGCTATGCCAAGTATTTTATCAGATCCGTTTGGCATTGCCCTAAAAAACAAATCAATGGAAATAAAAATGAGAATACAAAATTGTCTATATATCGATATAAATTGACTCTTGCACTGGCCAACAGCAAATATTTGCCAAAATAGTCAAAGATAATGAAAATAATCTAGCAGTTAGATTGGCTAGTTAATACCCTGTAACTAGGCTCTAAGGTTGGACTGTGAAAACAAGTATGTATGTGAATTTTTAAATCAAGTAATTCATATTTGACTTTTCCTATTAATTGATTATTCGTGGGAGTTAGTCAAAAAATTGAATCAGTTTGGCTTTCGTCATGAGGAAGCTGCATACCAGTTTTTAGGTTCCCAGCACATGCATTCTCTGAGTTCATACAGATTAGATCCTTATAAGCCCCCACCTAGAATAATTGTGTGTTTAGCTCTTACGTAGGACAGTAAAACTAAATATGTTAGTTTATGTGCTAATAAGTAATTCTAATTTGATATTTTCTAATTAATTTCTGTTTGATTAATGGGAGTTATCCATAAAATCAATCAATCGCTGAGTGCATATGGGTTAGATGCGTTAAGAGGTCCTTCTAAGCCGGAACTATAATATTTGTGTGTGCTGTCAGTTAAAAGCTTTCCTTTTTAAACAATTTAAAAGGGCACAGGGTATGAAATACAGAAATATGTGCGAGTACAGCGAAAATTTCAAGTAAATAATTATTAAATGCCAACAACTGTTCGCTAATTAAATTATACTGTTTGTGGCAAAGCTCTTTACATGTTCATTTCACATTCGCATTTATTTGCCGTGTTTTTTTTTTTTCTCTCTGATTTTAATTTATTTTACAATCAATTTTAAGTGTGCCCCCCAGGCGTGTGTGTACAAACACTGTAGTATAGTGTGTGGCTGGGCCTGTGGTTGGGGTTGTCTCCGTTGTTAATATGCCGAAATAAATAACTGAAATGTCTGGAATTCCGCTGGCATGAAACAACTTGGCGACGTCTTTACAAGTTCCGTTTTATGAATATGGTGTTTTTTTTTTTTTTTCAAGTAAGCCAAGCGAGAAGCCTGGTCGAACTCTTCACTAGTATTTATTTGTTCAGAATGAACTTTTGGCAAATTATTTGTACTTCTCGTTTTGGCATGCACAGGCCAAAGGCTGCGGCTCTGTGTCCGGGAACTGAGCTGTTGTTCCTCAAGTTGCCTGAATTATTCAACACTTTCGAGTGTTTTTAGTGTATTTGAAGTATTTACTGCGCCTTTGGGCACATTGCTGCCGCATCTGAATGTATGAGAAATGTTTGTGCCGCTCATACTTGAACCTCTTCAGTTCAAATTGGTCAATCATGAAAATGCCTTTCACCATTTTGGCGGATGGCTGGTGGCGGGTGGCGGGAGGAGCCATAAAATGCGGCTATAAATCGACTGATGGCCAATAATAGAAAAATTTGCAAACTTAATTATGCGAAAAGCAATTCGTGTTTGCGCTTCATGAATAGGCAAATATTTTAACTACGTTTTAAGAAGAGAATCAGAATAAAGTTAGGGTAGTATAGTGTGTTATTTAAGAAGCCAGCTGAAAGTGCCTAAGTTTAAATTAAGTAGAGCTTAAAGATTCTTTACCGTTTTTACATCGAAATAAATATAGACAAATAATAAATTATAAATATATATATAATAAAATGCAAATAGATAGATATAAGACCTAAATGTTTGAATATGTATTTTAATATTATTCTATTATTGATGTACATATTTTTTAAATATTTATTTATTTATTTGAATTTAGGAAATTGTATTTAAGATATGTTGAATATTTGACTTTATGTATTAAATTTTTATTATTCAATTTTTTTTTTAATTTTAGGAGTTTTTTAGTAAGAATTTCTACATCTAACTTTCATTTTACACAAATATATAATCTCCTTTAATTTATAAAGAATGGTATATATTATATACCATAAAATAGCCAATTAATTGTTAATAGGAAATATTATTAATTTTTTCTTAGTCCGTCATATTAAATGAATTTCTCAGAAAAAGCGAATTAACTCATGTAAGGCCTCGTAAATACATTAACCATATAAGTGTTGGTTGGAGAAATATATAGTATTCGATTTATAATATAGTTATAAACAAGTTTTACACGATCAATTTTAGTTTATGGCGCCTGGCCCGTTGGCTATTTGAAATTTATATGTTATTTAAGGCTTTTTTTATGACTTACTAAATGCACAATTTAGAGTTCGCGCACAGCTATAAAATATAAAATCAGTTTTCCTCTACGGCGCACAGATAAATTAATTCATAAATAACAAATTTATTGTTTACGCAGAATTTGGCTAGCCAACTCGTAATTCACTGTAACGAATAAATCACGACCCTATGTCGAGTGGCTTTCCGATATTGAAATGAAACACGGAAAATAACTGGCTCAAATATAATCGAGAGGTTGCTTCATTTTTAATAAAGCTAATGCAAAAGGGGCTATAATTATTCCGACTGCCAAATGGGTTAATATTATGTGTGCTCTGGGCAAACAATTGACAAAAAGCGTAATAATCAAATAAATGGTCAACCAAGGGCCAAATTAGTGGCACTTTTAATAGAGCTTAGCAGAGAATTTTGATAGCAACAGGCTGCGCATTTGTTAACGAAATAGTCAAGAACTTAACCTGAGTCATTTACTATCAAGAACTATTTGATAATACAGGCCAAAACAATATGGAAATTCTAGGAAATTTGTAGTGCTTGAAATTGGTAAAATTCCTATCTTGAGTACGCATCTGCATATTACACACATG